GGTAATTACACGGGACTCATAACATAAATAGTGAAAAATGGGTGTTACATTGTACAGTGGCATAACGTGCACCTCTGCCTACCCCTTCGGGGATAAAAGGCGTGATGTTATGTATATGTAATATATTTCTGTCAAGCTTTAAAGTTAAGCATTTATGGTCATGCAGACTAAACGTGTGTACAATATTTCAGCTCAATCGGTTGAAGATATCTGCTTCACAGTTCAGTTGCAAGGTTCTACTCCACACACACATACATATGTAAATTCCAAGTTAAATAACAGCTTGCAAATGAAATAAACTGCAATCACACATAACATAACATCACGCCTCTTATCCCCGAAGGGGTAGGCAGAGGTGCACATTATGCCACTGTACAATGTAACATAGGGGATGAGCCTATTGCCATATACCGGACACATTTCTAGACTCATCACAGATTTTGTTTTAAAATCCCAGTAATATTTTGTCCGATCCGGGAATCGACTCCGTGCCCGGCAGTCGCACTTGCGATCACTCGGCCAACGAGACAATCTAAAGAACTACAATCACGTAACTATTTTATGTTTGACATGTTAGGCTAGAGTATTCGACTGGTTTCAAGCTACGAGCGACCTCTAGCGGGGCTTTAAGAGGCCCGGTGAGACATGAGACTAGTGTAGTTTCATGTGTAGGCCATATTTTAATCTTTCTTTAGATGTAATGAATGATGTAAATTTCTTTCTTTGGATGTTTGTCCGTCAATGACGCTGAAACTACTGAACGAATTTTGACGTTATTGCGTACACAGGCAGGGTATGGGCTGACTTAGGTGGTAGGATACACATAAGAGATGGGATAAAATGGGAATTATAATTGTTCAATAGTTAATTATATTGATTTTTTTTAACACTAGAATCTCCTCGTTGGTCCTTTTACACACATTCACATACACATGACACCCAGACCCGGAACAACAATCTGTGGATCACACAAAGAGTTGTTACGTGCGGGAATCGAACCCGCGTCACGTTGCGCTGCAGCCAGTTGTCCCGCTACCGCGCCAATCATGCCATGCCGTGATTTGATTTCACATGCAATATGGCAATCCTGGCAGGGTCGCCATGCAATGTGGAGTAATGAGGGAGACGTGTTACTGTTAGGAATATCTTTAATTGAGTGACTTCATATCTAACTTACACTACTTACTTATAGGGCGAGGTGTCACACACACTACACACAGTTGGGAGGACATGAACTTACCTCTTCGCTTTAGGAGGAGTGCTACCCTTCACTCTGATTATGCGACCGGGGAACATACCTCCAGGTATTGGTTGGACACACAGGACTTTCTGAAAATGATAGAAATACATTCATTGATGTATTTTTTTTATAAGGGATCAAAATCATCGAATGGCTTCTCCCGCCTGGGTGAGGCAGGAAGGAGTGTCAGTCTCTTACTGACTAAAGACCATCCTGTTCCTACTCCTGCACTTCGAGCCGGAGCCCCGGTAACTCGCTAAGTCCTCCGCGGCTCAGTATCGGGATCAGCCCTATTGGGCCCCATCCGTGGTGGTTTGATCTGATGGCTTCTTGAGGCGCGCGTGGAACGCGATGCGCCGCACGCTCGGGTCTGAGGGCTTACTCTTGAATCCAATTCCGATCGATCGACATTGACATTGTGAAATTTCGTACTCTTGAGTTGCAAAACTAGCGCCCATTGCATCCGGTATTGCGTGGATATTGAATGAACTAATTGGTATTGAGTTTGGGTTTATATTCCGTACTCTGAATGCTACTTTAACAGCTACGATAGGGGTTGTATAGTTTTGACATTGGATAATTATTGAGATTTTATTGGATTGACATTGCATTGACATTGAGATTGGTTTCAAGAGTAAGTGCCCTGGTTCTATTCGGGCGGCGAGCTACCCATGCTCGCCGTCCGCAGGCCCGTGCTGATGGTATTTATTCATGTGTAGTGATTTAATTATTTCATCTCCGTGTGAGAAGAAGCCTTTGCTCAGCAGTGGCCAGTAATAGGCTGTTGATGATGATGATGATGACGGCCTCGTTGGCCGAGTGGTTGCAAGTGCAATTGCCGGGCAAGAGGTTTGATTCTCATCAAACCCAAAAGGTTTGATTCTCGGGTCTAAAAAGTATTACTGGTTTTTTTTAATGTGTGATGAGTCTGGAATTGTGTCCGGTATACGGCAATATTTTTTTTCCCTATTACACGAGACTCATAACATAAATAGTGAAAAGTGGGTTTTTTTTTGTACAGTGGCATTAAGTGCCATAATGTGCACCTCTGCCTACCCCTTCGGGGATAAAAGGTGTGATGTTATGTTTGTTCCTAATCCCGAAAGGCCGGTAACGCACTGGCAATGCCTCTGGTGTTCCAAGTGTCCATGAAGGACGCTGATTGCTTACCATCAGGTGATCTGTGTGCTTGTTTACCGGCTTATACCATACTCCGCTGTAAATAAATCTATACTAATACATCTTACTATATAAATCTCCTTATATCGTGTCCCTTTGCACTTGCATTGCTGATTGACGTCACCGCCCTCCGCCATGTTGTTTAAATTGCCTCCAAGCAACTCCATCTAGCGGGGATGGGTGAAATTATTTAAAAAAAATATAATAAATATAAAAAAATATTCACAAGTTTTTTTAATTGTAAGTGCAAGTCGCAAGTGCGACTACCTGACGAGGAGTCTCTATCTCAGGTTCGATTTCCGAGTTTGGCAATGTACCCGGTATATGGTAATAGGCTCACCCCCTATTACATGGGACTCATAACATAAATAGTGAAAAGTGAGTGTTACATTAAGTGCCGTAATGTGCATCTCTGTCTACCACAGATCGGGGATAAAAGGCGTGATGTTATGTTATGATATCTATTAAGTTCTGTATCGACTGCACGGTTGGTGAGGTGGCTGAGCAACCGACTGCCGTGCAACGTGTCGCGGGTTCGATTCCCGCACGGAACAAGACTTTGTGTGATCCACAAATTGTTGTTTCGGGTCTGGGTGTCATTGTGTATGTAAACTTGTATGTTTGTAAACGCACCCACGAAATAGAAGATAATCCTAATGTGGAGCTACGTTTAAAAAAAAAAAATATCTTGAATTTTGAGCTTACCACGTTCTCCTGTTGTAGTGGTGGAGGCCCCTCGAAGGCGATCTGCTGTATGACGACGTCGCCGTCCACCATAACGTGGGTGATCTTGTGGAACGGCAGGCGATGAGAAAACTTGCAGAAATGTTTTCGGTTCAACGCCACCTAACGGGAGTTTTGTAAAATTATTACATGGATAGATACATCGTTATACTAAGGGCTCGTACACAAAACTGCGATGCGACGTCGCATCGCAAAAATTTGCGAGCTCCCTCTACGCATCGCAAGAACTTGCGAATTGATTAGCATCGCGCATCTTAATCTTGTCTTCCCAAAATCTTCTTTGTTACTTTCTCTTGTATATCCTAAGCAATAACAGAAGTGCACACTTCTTTTAACGATCCATGTCACGACCTAGTTTTCAATTTAAAATACGTTTAATACGGTGGACCGTCGTTGAAGGAATGGTCACCCTGAGAGACGCCTTGTCGCACGAAATCGCATCGCAGCTATTCGCATTGTAATTTTTTGCGTTGCGAATTCGCATCGCATCGCATTGTAGTTTTGTGTACGAGACCTTACTCCAATTGTAGTAGACAGAGACAATAAAACGCGAAATGACGCGATTCTGACATATCTCTTTCGCGACATCAACATTAATCAATCTGTTCATGCATGCTTGTCGATTGAAGCTCTGGTGTTACGAACCCACGGCTGGCACTGATTGTTTTTTTTAAAGGGGGATAATCATCGAATGACTGTCTCGTTGGCCGAGTGGTCGCACGTGCGCTTGCCGGGCAAAGGGTCACGGGCTCGATTTCCGGGTCGGGCAAAGTATTACTGCGTTTTTAAAAATCCCAGTAGTAGCACGGAGAATGGAAATGTGCCCGGTATATGGCAATAGGTTCACCCCCCATACATGGGACTCATAACATAAATAGTGAAATATATATAAAAAGGCGCGATGTTATGTTATTACTATCTTTTATGTGGTAGAATACAATATTTATTTATTGCGCTATCGTACACAAACATGACAATTTATATTACATTAAAAAGTTTATCCCCCAGAAAAATCAACTTCCATCCATCATTTCGACGACTTTTTCACTATAATTATTACCAGAACCATCAATGCCAATCTCTAAAACTGATACGATCGGTTTATGATAGCTGAAGTAAGAAACGAACAGTTGTGATTCGAACCTATTTAAATGTCTAATGAAGACCGCGTCAATAGCAGTTTTATATCTCGTTGTGCTAAGATGGCGATCACTTTACATACTTAAACCAATTCATTATTTAAAAATTCAATTAAACACACACGAACTTTCGCGCAAGCGCCCTGGGAAAGAGAGGAAACGAAGTTTCGGTATTTATCGCTCTCAAAATAGTACCGTAGTTAAGACGTTATGAGCGAGAAAGAGATAGCGCTCGACCGAAAGCATAGGCCATCTCTCTCACTCTTTTCAAACCAAAAAATTACTGCAGATTATACGCGTACGGCATGTCCATTAGTATATGTCAATACCCTGTCCTACGCCACGCCAACTGTCTACTCTCCATCCGTCTTACGAATTTTCTATCAGGATCACGTGTCCTGACGCGAGTTTAACATTTTTTACCCATTACAAAAAAGTGTAAAACGACGCTAAACATGTTTTCACATCAAAAATGTAACCACCACTTACCTTAAAGCCATCATGATAGCAATGAATAAGAATGTCAAAGGGGTCTCCGATGTTCAGTGGCAGACCCCCTATGGTCTGCTCAACGCCCCAAGTAGAATCAGCGAAATGGTTCCGAAAGATACACATCTCAGTGAAGCAAGGATTTAAATGGAAGGTTATATCTTCTACAGGATACTGGCCTGGACCACATTGTAAGTTTATGGCGAACCTGAGGACAAATTGGCGGTATTAGTGTTAAAACCAGTATGATGGCCAATTTAAGACAAGCCCGCCACAACCTCCCAAATCCGCTGCAACTCCTGTGCACCAGGATCTACAGTAGATACAACCTTGAAAACACCGGAACACTGAAGTCCGGCGCGTCCCAGTGACATGAGTAACTGTCTTGGTTGGTGGACGTGAATCAGAAGATATTATAAGAGGAGAAGAAGAAAACACTATAGTTTTTACTTCCCTTGGTGAATTACTGCAGGAGACAGAATGAATTAAGCCTAAAGACTAGGGCTTCCATCCCGGGAGTCTCGGTCTCGAAAATCCCGAGAGTCTCGACGATTTTTTCATGTTTTCGAGACTCGAGACCTCAGCTCCAATTTTCGAGAATTTCGAGACTTTCGAGAGTTAGTTAAATAATCTACAAAAAATACCAATCTACTAAAAAAATCTACTAAACTACCATTATTATTTTAATTAAGTGACGTGGCAACACTCATGACTTGCAAACGACTTTGCATGTAGAAAAAGCTCTCTTTGAGAACGGTGGTGACAGAGGTAAGCATTTAAATCAGTGCTATAATTATTTACTATCCATCCCCCCTACTAGTGTCGAAGCAGAGAGAGCTTTTTCAAATGCAGGGTACTTTTGTAACAAAACAGATCCTCTTTATCTGAAAAGTCATTGAATGCCCTTTGCTTTCTGCGTGCATATTTTAAAAATGAAAAATGTTAATTTTATATAATACATTTGTTTTTTTTTTGTAATAGTTGATTAATAAAGTGCATAATTGAAACATATTGTTTTATTTGCCTAATTGTATAAACCTTGAGTATGAAACTTATTTAGTCTCGAAAGTCTCGTTTTTCCCGGGACTCCCGGGACCGGACCCAGTCTAGATTTTTTTTTCCCGGGACTCGAAAATGTATCGAGACTGGAAGCCTTACTAAAGACACAAAGAAGAGACTGTACAACTGGATGAAGCCCAGTCGCCATGATGGCCAATTAGTGTATTTAAAGGTTCTGCCAATGGCTTCAACCGCGATCTCGTGCGATAAAAAGTAGCTTATGTGTTATTCCAGGCCATAATCTACCCTTGTTTCAAATTCTATCCTGATATCTTCAGCCGTTTTGACGAGAAGGAGTAACAAACAAAAAAACAGACAGACAAACTCAATACCATTCATAGACATTGGTGTCACATTCCGAATTACTAAACGGTCGTAACTAAACATCGCGGGTTACTTACGTGAAAATATTGAGAATAGGTCTACTAGTTTCGAGCTCTTTAAAAGGAGAATAAGAAAAATAACCACCATTACAATTTTTGTCTGTCTGTCTGTCTGTTTGTACTGGCAAATCTCTGGAATGGCTGCACTGATTTTGCAAGACTTACATTGGCAGGTAGCTGATGTACCAAGAAGTAACAGGTTACTTTTATTTTGGAAAATAGAAACAAAAGAAGTTAAGTTCTAAAATTCATATTCTTCGTGAACCAAGTCGCGGGAAACAGCTAGTAAAATACATATAATCAGGGAAAATGGTCTTACCTCTTTGCTGTGGGAGGAGTGTTCCCCTTCACTCTGACGATGCGGCCAGGGAACATCCCTCCAGGAATGGGATGCACACATGGTACTTCCTGGAAATATAAAGGGGAAACCTTTAACCATTTTTTTTAAGGGGGGAAAATCATCGAATGACTGCTCCCGCCTGGGTGAGGCGGAAGGGAGTGTCAGACTCTTACTGACTAAACACCACCCCGTTCTTTTTTCTGCACGTCGAGCCGGAGCCCCGGTTACCCGTTAGGTTCTCCGCGACAAACCTTTAACCATACACTGGATAAAATTACATCATTTATAAATGTCCACTGCTGACCAAAGGCCTCTCCTTACATGAAGGTTTTACAGCATTAACCACCACTCTTGCTCAATGCGGGTTGGTGACTTCAAACTTATAATTAGAGATTATAAGCCCAGGTTTCCCCACGATGTTTTCCTTCACCGTTTGTCAGTGGTGTCTAAATAATCTTAGAAAGTACATATAACTCGGAAAAGATCACATTGGTACTTGCCGTCTTGGTACTTGGTAGGTTTTGAACCCGCGCCCCCTCATGCATTTTTTTAAGGGGAAAATCATCGAATTACTTCTCCCTTCTAAGTGAAGCGGGAGGGAGTGTCAGACTCTTATTGACTAAAACCACCACACTCACGCAGGGCATGCCCCCACCGTGTCCTCTGGGTGGTGATGACACCCGGGCGTTTCCTCCCGCCCTATCAGACACAGGTACATCCCGAAGCTCCCGTAAGCACGTGCGTCAGCCAATAGGTGAGGACGCCAAAGCGTCTCTTAAGCCACTCCTCAAAGAGGGGACTTACCGCTGCGATGGCAGCGAGCCCAATGTATGACAGTGCAATTTCTGGGCCACCACGACACAAAATGTACTTCGAATTAACTATCACCCACATAATATAAAACATAGTCGTTTGCCGCTATCTATCTTAAGGTGCTTCCTCAGCAGGAGCATTCGCGCGTAATGTAATGTTACAGATCTGAGCATTACATCAGTGAAGGAGGAAAACCGAGCATTACAATGCGCACATCGTTATGTTACAATGTGTAATATCTTGATACAACTTGTAACATCAATGCGCTCCACTTCCCCCCGATCCCCGCCCGCCCGCTTCGTCTGACATCTTGCTATGAAATGCTCAAAGTCGAATCAATATGTTACATTACGTACACGCAAATGCTCGTTAGTCAGGGAGGTATTATTGTAATGTAATGCTCAAAGTCGAATCTAGAATGTTTCATTACACGTGAATGCTCCCAGTGAGGAGCAACTTTATGTTTGCTTAGATCTTCAAAACTACGCAACGGATTTTGATGTGTTTTTGTTTAATAGATAGGTTCAAGAGAAAAGTTTTTACTTGTACTACGTTCTGCCAGCGGTTTCGTCCGTGGAATAAAAAGTAGCTCACAAACGAATTCACAAACATATGCATTCTATTAATACTATAAATGTGGAACTTTATATGTTTATTGGTTACTTAATCACATCAAAACGGCTGAAGGGATCGGGATGAAATTAAGAACAGGGGTAGATTATGGTCTAGGACAACACATAGGCCACTTTTTATCCCACGGGAAGTGGATGAAGCCGCGGGCTGAAAACTAGTTTTCTAATAAAACACAAGAAATCTCAACGAAACTGTATTTGACTCGGAAAACTATAAGCGAATTTAAAATCTTACCGGATTGCAGACTGGAGTATTCATCATTTATTGGATTCGGATCGTAACGATGTATTTTATAGCCTTACTCGATATGTACTATCCAACACAAATAGATATCTTCAGTTCGAACCACCAGTTTCGGAGTTAAGCACGTTTAAACAATCACTTTATATTTACAGTACCTATATATATTTTTGACACTCGAAATTAAATTTTAAACTTTTTTAATCTTAAAATTGATATAAAGACATCTGTTCCCTACAAACGTATAAACAAATGAATGAAGATTGATAAATCTATTGAATCATACTCAAATTAAAACTTGTAGAACCGGACTTCAGATCATGTGACGTACAGACATAAGGTTTTTGATCAAAAACCTGTAGTTATTCGTCATTTTTTAACCGATATCAAAAAGAAAAAGAAAGAGTATCTCAGTTTGGACTATGTATGTATTTATGTATGTACGTATCTTTGTGCGAAATTATCTCGTGATTGGCTGTACCGATTTTTATGCGGTGTATAGAAAAGTCTTTGTTACATGACTGCCTCGTTGGCCGAGTGGTCGCAAGTGCGACTGCCGGGCAAGGGGTCTCGGGTTCGATTCCCTGGTCGGGCAAAGTATTACTGGGTTTTTAAAGGTCTCAGTAGTAACACGGAGTCTGGAAATGTGCCCGGTATATGGCAATAGGTTCACCCCCTATTACATGGGACTCGTAACATAAATAGTGAAAAATGGGTGTTACATTGTACAGTGGCATTAGGTGCCGAAATGTGCACCTATGCCTACCCCTTCGGGGGTAAAAGACGTGTTGTTATCTTATGTGTTCCAAATAAATTGTTCGGAACGGGGTCTTCGTCGAAAAACAATTTTTTTGTCAAATTTAAGAAATAATGTTGGGAGTGGTACCTATATCATTTTAGAATCTTTAATGCGTCGACTTTAGTGAAATTTGCCACTACTACCGCAGTATAATGTTTGTTCAGTACAGTCACTTAAACCAAGGTGAAAAATTTATTGAGAATACTTGATTCATCATAAAATGATATTCTTATCTAAACTAAAGCAGTTGGTTTAGAATTTATGATTCCATAATACTGAAGCACTATTCAGGATAACGTAAGGAAAAATACAGACGAAAAAAAAGAATTGTAGCAACAAGAGTCAAAAGACTGGCACAGGGTGTACAAAAAAAAAGATGACACATAAGTCATTGTAATTTAAAAACTATATGACGTAAAAAAAAAAAATTTTTCTGATAACTATCGCAACCTTACCAACCACCTGGTGATATTTGAGTGTCAAATTCAGGGACACCTTGTATATTATGTATAGTAGCTGTTGCCCGCGATTTCATCCGCGTAGAATATAATTCCTGTTTTATCCCATGGGAGCTTTAATCGGGATAAAAAGTTGCTCAAACCTTCTCCGTGTGAGGAGAGGGCATTGCTCAGCGGTGGGCATTTATAGGCTGTTGATGATAGTATTAGAAAACAGGTGGAAACTTATGTTTTAACTCGTCGAGTACCGGTTTTGTAGACACAATTATAGAACAATAGGTTGCGGTCACCGGTGACCGCTTGGTGTTTGACAGTTTAAGAAGAAAAATACAACGGCAAACTTAAAGAAACATGTAATGAGAACGACTAGATAATTGTAACAAAGTTATTACATACATACATAACATCACGCCTTTTATCCCTGAAGGGGTAGGCAGAGGTGTACATTATGCCACGGTACAATGTAACACCCACTTTTCACTATATATTTTATGAGTCCCATGTAATAGGGGGTGAGCCTATTGTCATAATTATACTGGTCACAACTCCAGACTCCGTGCTACTACTGAGAATATTTTAAAGACCCGGTAATACTTTGACCCGGCAGTCTAACAAAGTTATTAAACCTCAAATTAACCAACTAACAAAGAAATATTAATAGCCAGGACAAGCGTATTGCCGGTCTGACGAATCTCGAACAAAAAGGGGCGATGTTATGCACTCGACACGCCTTTTATACCGAACTAAATTTTCTTCTACCTTCAAAGATTCCTAACAATAGGTTATGAAACATCACGCTACGATGAATAGTAGCCGACCAGAGATAGAAGTAAATGAAGGTAAGTATTTGCTCAAGTTGTAGGTAAAATGGGAGTGGGATTTTTGTGTCGGTCATTCGTGGTTGATTTGATTTTGTTATCAGCGTGCGAATGGTTTTATAAGGAAAACCACACGTGGGTTTTACATGAGTTTATTTTTTATTAAAGTTGTAATCAGATACTGTTATTGTAATAAACAAGTGCGATACACAATTGATTATGTCCTAGACTACACTCATAGTTGCGCTTTGCCCTCGCGAAGGGCTGTATGGACCCGGTCTAGATCAGGGTTTTTTTCCAAGGGGGAAAAATCATCGTATGATGTCTCCCGCCTGGGTGAGGCGAGAGGGAGTGTCAGGCTCTTATTGACTAAAAACCACCCCGTTCCTACTCCTGCCCTTCGAGCCCCGGTAACTGTTGGGCCCCATCCGTGATGGTCGGATGGCTTTTTGAGAGGCGCGAGGACGCGACGCACCGTACGCTCGGGTCGAATTCTGGTGGCCCGCGCTTACGGTGGCCGGGGATCGTCTCGCGATCACCGACGCCCGGAGTATCCTTCGCGATGGCTGGGTTGTGAGGAGATAGCGCTTCGCTGCCTCACGGGTCTCGCCTTCTCCTTAGCTAGCATGACTGCTTCGCAAAAGGAGGAGACGTGTCAGGTTAGGGATTTGGACTGAAAACTAACAAGTTCGGCTACATCCGAAGATGACGATTATATCAGCTCCCTGAGTTGAATAAAACTGCACCAAATTCTTTCTTTCTATCTTTAGAATGTTTGTCCGTCAATCACGCTGAAACTACTGAACGGATTTTGATGAGTTTGGTATACAGGCAGGGTATGGGCTGACTTAAGTGATAGGATATTTACATAAAAATACATAACATCACGTCTTTTACCCCCGAAGGGGTAGACAGAGGTTCACATTACGCCACTTAATGCCACTGAACAATGTAACACCCAATTTTCACTGTTTATGTTAAGAGCCCATGTAATAGGGGGTGAACCTATTGCCATATACCGGGCACATTTCCAGGCTCCGTGCTGCTACTGAGAATTTAAAAAAATATATAATTATAGTTTTTAACCAAGCACGATGTTAATTCTTCTATAAGGGCCGCCACCTATATCAGTTCTTCCCATTCGTGCATGAGCGGCTGGAGAGGACATGGTTGGAGGTGGATCACTGTGTTGCCCAATTTCTCACTGGCCACTGCAACTTTAAAAGCAAATTGTTCTCATTTGAACTTGTTGATCCACAATGGTGCCAATGCCATGGTGTTCGACAGCGGAGCTGCAATACGAGCAGTCCGCCCATCACATACTCTGGGAGTGTGATCTCTGGCAATATGAACGTAACACTATGTTAAATAATTTAATTGTTTCGTCAGGTGCAGCTTATTATACGGACCTTGTGGAAGCTAGAATAAATTTCAGTGCGTTTAAGCGGTTTGCCATACTTATTACTGGAAGCAAGTATAACAGCTCACACATAGGACCCACTTAGATTTTAGTCAAATTTCCGTGGTGCTTGGCGACTGGGCTTCACCCAGTTGTACAGTCTCTTTTTTTGTGCCTTTAGGCTTAATTCACTCTGTCTCCTGCAGTAATTCACCGAGGGAAGTGGAAACTATCGTTCTTTTTTCTTCTCCTCTTATAATATCTTCTGATTCACTTCGTCGCGTGAACCAAGACAGTTGTTCATGTCCCTGGGACGCGCCGGGCTTCAGTGTTCCGGTGTTTTCATGGTTGTATCTACTGTAGATCCTGGCTTACAGGAGTTGCACCGGTTTTGGGAGGTAGTGGTGGGTTTGTCCTATAAAAAAAAAAACAAAAAAGGCCCATTATCTTGGTTTTCTTACCTTCATCAAAACTAATATTAAAATTGCAAAATTTTGTGTATAATATGTTCGTTACTTAATCACGTCAAAACGACTGAAGGGATGAAACTTAACATATCATGATACTTAGAATACGGATTGATTATGGTATGGAATAACACACAGGCTACTTTTGATCCTACAGTTATGCGGGCCAAGCCACTGGCAGAAGCTAGTATGTTCATATAATATATCAGTGGGATAAGACGCTAGAGTTGTAATGGCGGACGTGGGACGAGGATGTTCCATGTAACGTTTTGCTTTTGTAACGTTCTAGCGGTTAGTAGCGTGGGCGTACTTATACTTATAAGGCCATGCGCAGACGATAGCCAGGCATTCATTTGGCGACAGCTCGTGCGAAATAAACAATCGTTTGTTCAATTTGACAGAAAAATATATTAAAAAGATGAGTACTACTATAAAGAATCCGGTGAGTGTTATTTATATGATAATTTTTATTATTTTTTTGAACTTTCACAGACCTTAGATACAGTTTGGTTTGTAAATACTATTTAAATCTAACTGTACGATGATAATCCTTGTATTTAGAGTCATATAGTTATATAAATATTACTATTAGTAACAGAAAGTAATATAAAGAAATAATCTCTCTAAGAAGTATTTTTGTCAATGGTTAAATGTGGGATACTTCAAGGCAGTATCTTGTGTCCTCTATTGTTTCTTAAACCATGTCTTCTAGTATTCAACGATAATAGTAATGCTTTACGTATAAATGTACTTTTTTCCTTTCAGGGAATACCAAGCTCGAACCTTATTCCTGAGGGTATTTTCCCCGGTCGCATTGTAAAAGTGAAAGGTGCTACTACCCTCGCATCAAAGAGGTAAGTTCATATTCAAAGATATAGTGGTAAATGTGTAAAAAACGGGGGAAATTATTTCATCTTCGAAGCCTTCCGTTGCGTGCGCTGTGAAAACGGTTCAAGATACGCAAAAAATATGTAGTAAAGAATAATAGCTCTTTTAATGATCTAAAAAAAAGTCCGCGACAGTAAATGTCTATCTTTTAAAATTAACTCACAAAAACCGTTTTTATGGTACCTAATTTGGTCGAAAAAATTTGTTTAAGTAGTATCAACATAATAATATTAATCTTTATTCAAATAAATATGGTTCGAATTGAATAATTCTTTTTGTGTTAGATAGTCCATTTATCGAGGAAGGATATAGGCTATATAACATCACGCTACGACCAATAGGAGCAAAGATATAGTGGTAAATGTGTGAAAAACGGGAGAAATTAATTCATCTTTGAAGCCTTCCGTTGCGTGCGCTGTGATACACAAAAACCAAGATTGCGACTGCACGAAATTTTTAATTTATCGCCATGGGTATCGTTTTCATGGTTTTCGAGGGTGGTAAAACCGTTGGTGCTGTCAAAATGTAAATCCAAGATAGCGACTGCACAAAATTTTTAATTTATCGCCATGGGTATCGTTTTCATGGTTTTCGAGGTTGGTAAAACCGTTGGTGCTGTCAAAATGTAAATCCAAGATAGCGACTGCACAAAATTTTTAATTTATCGCCATGGGTATCGTTTTCATGGTTTTCGAGGTTGGTAAAACCGTTGGTGCTGTCAAAATGTAAATCCAAGATAGCGACTGCACAAAATTTTTAATTTATCGCCATGGGTATCGTTTTCATGGTTTTCGAGGTTGGTAAAACCGTTGGTGCTGTCAAAATGTAAATCCAAGATAGCGACTGCACAAAATTTTTAATTTATCGCCATGGGTATCGTTTTCATGGTTTTCGAGGTTGGTAAAACCGTTGGTGCTGTCAAAATGTAAATCCAAGATAGCGACTGCACAAAATTTTTAATTTATCGCCATGGGTATCGTTTTCATGGTTTTCGAGGTTGGTAAAACCAATGGTGCTGTCAAAATGTAAATCCAAGATGGCGACTGCACAAAATTTTTAATTTATCGCCATGGGTATCGTTTTCGTGGTTTTCGAGGGTGGTAAAACCGTTGGTGCTGTCAAAATGTAAATCCAAGATGGCGGCTGCATGAAATTGTCAATTTATCCTCATGGGTGTCGTTTTCATGTAACTACATTGTGTTTGGGTGTGTATAATTTGTATTGATTAGAAGTTTGCACCTATGTGGATTATAAGTGGCAAAACTAAAAATGACTTCCCAAAAAGTAAAAAGTAAAAAGCAAAAAAATAACTATATTAGTACTGATGAGTTATTCACCCACTGACCGACTTTTAGTCGGTTCCATAAGCTCATATTTTACCGATGCGTTACTGTCTAGTCTCTCGGCATTTTACACGAGATCAAAGGTCATGAATACGAACGCAACGAATAGAATTTCTGGAGGACTAAAAGTATCGGTTTTCCACCCGCTCGCAGAAGTTCTGTTGTGATTTCGTCATCACCAGTGTCGAGGTTTATAACTGTCCGTAGAACGTTTCGACCTCTCTCAGAATCTCTGACTTCGATGAAACGATGCTACAGTTTTCGATCTTCAGTTTCGTCATTTGGCTTTGCCCAATGGACGAATTTCTTGCGAACACTTTTGAGCCCTGATTTCGCTCGATGGGATCCCTGACTCGCGCGGCGTTATATATGCATGCAGATCGCGTCGCATGGATTTTCAAGTTCTCCTATTGAGTTTGCCGTATTCAGACATGTCAACTGAAGGCTGTCGCCTCATCTCGTGTCAGTATTTCAATAATTTGAACTATATTATGTACATAGTCTCACAATTTGAAATCATGCATCTATACAAATGAAAATCGTTGATTAAGTTTTTTATATCAAAAAAACATATTCGGTGCCACAGGATATATATCTAGATTCATCAGATATCCCATGGTACCGAATATCTCTGATGATGAAGACGTTTTTTACACCATTCTTATGTGTTCAGGTTCTCGGTAAACTTACAATGTGGTCCGAAAATGTATCCTGGAGAGGACATAGCGTTTCATTTCAACCCTCGCTTCGATACAAATATTCTGGTCCGCAACCACTACGCCGGGTCCAAGTGGGGCTCTGAGGAGATCAGCTCTGGAGTGCCGATGAACAAAGGAGAATGTTTCGAAATACTTATCTATTGCTATAATAATCGTTTTAAGGTAAGTGGTTCAATCGTAATTCTACTAATATAGTAAATGCGACAGTTTGTACGTTTGTCTGTTACTCCTTCACGTGGAAACGGCTGAAGAGATCGGGATGGAATGTGGAACAGGGGTAGATTTTGGTCTTTTTTTAAGGGGGGTGAATCATCGAATCACTTCTCCCGCCCGGGTGAAGCGGAAGGGAGAATCAGACTCTTACTGTCTAAAAACTACCCCGTTCCTACTCCTGCACTTCGAGCTAGAGCTAGAGCCCCACAAGAAGGCGGGTGACGCCGCATGCAGAAGCTAGTTCGACTATGAGTCTACTTCTACCTACACCTACTAGTTTCCAATGAATAAATAATTTGTTTTGTACTTAACACTAAGTAATTTCTCCAACTCTTACCAGGTGGAGGTCAATGGAAAATGTGTCTGCGAATTCAACCACCACATCCCGTTTGGTAGGATCACCCACATCATGGTGGAGGGAGACGTTACCATAGATGAAGTCAGTTTTGTGGGAGCACACCTGCCGCAGGACCTGAATCTGGTACGCTATTTTTTAACTGACTTAAAAAAAGACGTTCCGACCTTCGGGCGGTCTTCGGAGTGATGACACCCGGGCGTTTCCTCCCGCCCAGTCTCAAACAGAAACCTACCGAAATTACCGTGTCCGGTAAGCACCTGCGTCAGGCGGAAGGTGAGGACGCCATACCGTCTCTCAAGCCACTCCTCAAAGAGGGGACTTAAAAATATTAAAAAGATGAGGGCTACTATAAAGGTTCCACTGAGTTTTCTATGGTATTTTTTGTTATTTTTTTAACTTTTACCGGCCTTCACTCGTCGAGTACCATCATTATAGACACAATTATAGAACAATAGTGGTGACCGCTTGGTGTTTGACAGTTTAAGCGCAGTTTGATTTGTAAATACTATTCAAGTCTACCTGTACGATGATAAAATTTATATTTAGAGTCATATAGCTAAATAAATATCAGTAACAGAAAGTAATATAAAGAAATAATCTCTGTAAGAAGTCTTCTTGTCAAATGGTTAAATGTGGGATGCCTCAAGGCAGTATCTTGTGTCCTCTTTTGTTTTCTGAATCGTTTCTTCTAATACTCAAAGATAATAGTAATTCTAATGTATAAATGTAGTGTTTTCCTTTCAGGGAATACCAAGCTCGAACCCTATTCCTGGGGGTATGTTCCCCGGTCGCATTGTAAAAGTGAAAGGTGGCACTACCCTCGCATCAAAGAAGTAAGTTTAAATTCATGTGTGGGACTTCATCTTAAGTGTGGGAGAACCACGCTTTGATACGAATGGGCCGGCTCGACCGGAAGGTTGCCACGGCCTCACAGAAAACCGACGTGAAGCAACGCTTGCGTTGTGTTTCGTCGTGTGAGTGAGGTTACCGGAGGCCCAATTACCCTCCCCTTCCCCAATCTCCCCAATTCCTGAATCCCCAACGATCCTCAAACTCCTAATCCCCAAAAGGCCGGTAACGCACTTGTAACGCCTCTGGTGTTCCAGGTGTCCATGGGCGACGCCGATTGCTTACCATCAGGTGATCCGTCTGCTCGTTTACCGGCTTATGCCATAAAAAAAA